CAGATTACTCTAAATATGCCAGTCATATTAGCCTTTCTTGCTCATATGTACATTAGATGACCTTCCATTTGATGTAGAAAATTGTATTTACATGAGAATGAAACTTATGTTTCATGTAATCTCCAAGCAGATCATACGGTGGTTAATGGACACTTCTCTGACCAATGGATATTGCATTGCTACCGTATGATCTGCTTAGAGTTAGAGATTACGTTTCTCGGTCATTTCAAGTTCCTATATTCCTATTGGCATCAATGTAGTATATGTACAACAGGGCAAACCTGTTACATTGCCCTAATTGCAATGTGCATGATAGATAGGGTCTGTACACAGGTTTTTACCAATGTCTTTGCCACTGTCAATGTACAATTTCAAAGATGTACATCACGCAAGTGAGGTCAGTGTCAAGTAATTCAAGAACTCTTTGGAACACATACACTCATTACTGATCGCATTAATTTTGTGGACCAGAATCAGCAAAAAAGAATCCGACACGTGGAAGAGTGGACGCGATCTAGAGTCAGTCAATCAATCCACAGACCCTCAGCAGGTTTTGGTGCGACTCTTCCCAGTACTTGGACTCAAGAAGCTTATTCTTGTACTCTGCTGCTCTGTCAAATTCTGACTCAGAGAATTCCAAAGTGTCTGCAATCTTTTTTGCCCATTTTCTTGCATCCTCATCCAGGTCGGACTCCCTCGCGCTGGTTGTCACGATCCTGTGCCTCATGTCTGCAGGGCACTTCCTCTCCTTGATCAAGTCCATGATCATGTCTGCTAGTCCTGACTTGTCAGAGATGAGTACAGGGATGCCTGCTGCGATGGCCTCCAGACCGATCAGTCCGAACGGCTCGGCACGGGACGGCATCAGGACCAGGTGGGCCTGCTGCATGTCCTGAGCGATGTCCTCCTGGGTTCCACATGGCAACAGGGTGGGTTTGATCTTACTACTGTGCAGGTTCTCCTCCAGGATTCTCTTGCTCGCCTCCCAGCCATCTTCATCTATTCCGCGAACACACAATCTGACGTTTGTAATCTTCTCTGCAACCTCCCCCAACGCCCGTGCTACCAGGTCATGGCCCTTCAGCTTGTCCACTTCGGTCACTCTCCCGACAGACAGCACGACTTTCTGTCCTCCTCCTGGTCTGACAGAGATGGCTTCAAACACTGGGGATGGCCTTGGAAGAAACAAGAAGTGTTGGCGTGGTCTGCTTTCTCCAAGTGACATGTACTTCGTCTCGAAGTAGTCGTAGATCCTTCTTCCCAATGAAAACACCGCATCTGCATTCTTTGCATCCTCGAGAATGTCGTCCATCTTCCTCCTCGCGGCCATCGCTTTCTTGGTCCCCATGTAAGGCTCCGTCTCTTCTGGCATGTCGTGGTTGAAAAGAACCAATTTTGCGTGTTGACAGCGGTTCTCTTGAATGCTCTTTGCAGCCCCACTTGTGACATCTACATGACCCACAATGCACTTCAGATCCTGTAGTATATCTGGGTAGTGGAAGCTGTGGTAGTGGGTCAACCATTCCAAAGAAGGTGTCCTCTTGTCCCTGGGATTTCGAACAGGCAAATGCAAAATGACACCATCGTCTGTGGCACACCGCTTGTCTTCTTCAGATGCTTGCAAAGCCGTAGCATGAACTGTAGCACCATGTCGCTGCAGAAATTGCGACACCTGACGGTTCGTGGTCGATGTACCTCCTTGGGACGTGCCGTACGTATCGTTAACCATCAGAACAGACACGACGGCTGCAACCCAAAAACAATGGATGCGTGTCATAACAACTAACATCAATTTCGAGTTAATTATGACGGGTAAAATGCAGGCACCATGAAACGATACTTGTTTGAATGTACTGATGATCGAAAAGGACTTGCTTAAAATATTTCTTTCATTAGCTGAAAACCTAGTTGGGTAACTGAATCGTATGTATCCAATTTGTAAAAATATTGAATTAATTGATAATTGTTAAAAAATAATATTACAAAACATTCTCTGTACATGTTTATTTTTACATTATGCATGACTCCATTCATACCTTGCTTCGGTCGCTTTACCGGGGGGCCACTGTCGCTGGACTCGCCAACATGCCGAGTTTTGGCTTTCCTCTTTCCACCTGTAATCAATATAAGATTTTAAAGAAATATACGCCATGTAATGTTATCCATATGATTCCCTTTTCTTGTTTGACGTACCGTCGTACGGAATGATAATTCTCAGGCAAAGACGAAGAAGCATTTAGAATATGATACAAAATTATCATGTTACATCTGACCTTTCTTATGTTGTATCTGGGACGCCTTGATCATGGTGATCACAGTGCCTTCCTTCTGCTGAACCTGACTTGTCTTCCCCTCATCTGCAATGGGCATACGATAAGAAAAATGTTTACAGCTTAAACATGTTAAAGCTGAGATTTTATACCTCTGGGCTTTTTGTTTTATATTTCTATATTTTGTTTGCTATGTATATATAGTTGATGGTGTTAACATTTTATGTGTTAGATTTAGCGTTCCATGTTGTGTTAACACAGGTCAACATTTTCATCTGCAGCTTATAACATGTACCCACAAGTTATGAAATTCTATTTAATCTGCCGCAGGCAACTCGTAATCAAACTCGTAATATAGAGCAATTCATGCTTAGTGGAGTGCACAAAGGAGTTCAAGTCTGTTATTTCTCAATATCATATATATATATACAATGATAGGAAAACAATAGGCCAATGATCTACCTTCAGAGTGGAAATACACTGTCGCTGACGGGATCCGGCGCTTGAGATCAGTTATTTGTGATCCGGGTTTAGAAAGTCTGAAATGGACGGCTCCTTGGTACATCTTTTTGGTTTGGCTCGGATTGTTCAGGATCAGTCCAACTGACCACCTGTTGCAGTTAGCTGGTGGGAAGAAGAAGATGATACCTTCCTTAAGATCACGAGAATCCCCAATGACCTCTTTTTCTTCATCAAATTTGGCGTCTATCCTTTCTTCCCAGCCCATGACGATGCGCTGTTTGAACGGTGGGAGCGGCAACATATTGTCAGCTTGGAAAAAGTCGTTGGGGTCGTCGTCCTTGTGAACACACATGAGGTGGATGCAGTTGTTGTCTGTTGTTGCCTGGTTTGGGTTTACTATGAGGTACACTTTGTCTTCAGTGTACCTGTTCCAACACCCCTTGAATGATAGACACGTGGTTGGAGATGTTGAAGGAACATTTGACTCTGATGGAACATTTGACTCTGACGCCCCCGAATTGGCAGTCTCCTCCTGCTTCCCTGGCCTTTCTGCAGGGGGGGTCGAACTTTCTCCCACTTTGCCACTTTCCTTGGCACCGGCAATCCTGACAAATCAAACAAGACAAGGAGAAATGAAATTGAAGAAATCATACAAACAATAAATCAGTAGATACGTATTAACTGCCTAAAATGTGTGAAAGTATGAATCTACCATGCAAGCTCAGTGCATTACCCAGAAAAGTGTCTCGTTGTGAATGTGACTGCGTCCTCTGTCTCTTGAAACTCTGTCCTTAGCAGCGACCACTGGGGATGATTTGACTTTCTCTCCATCAGGACGGTCTTATCTGTGCCGCAGTCGCTCTTCTTCCATGCCCACGGCAGAGTGACGCTCACGGGCTCTAAGAAGTCCTCCTCCTTTTCCTGGTGCACAGTCAGTATCGGGGTCACAGCTGAGAAAGCCTTTGTCAAGGCGTCATCAATGGGCAGCATTTCGACCTATAAGGTTACAATAATAGTGTAATTGGCGACAGAGATCCTTGGTGGATTTTGGGTGAAAGTTTATGTTTCACGGCTGCTCATTAATAATGATGAACGTGAGTCATCCGACTATAGGGCTTATTCACCACCGATTGTCACGTAACCCCCCCCCCCAGGCAACGAGCATTGTCTGCCATGTTGTGGTCCAGAATGGTGCCTATCGGCTATCGCTATGGTACGCTATGCAAACTTTTGGCGATAGTTGCGTAGTTTTGGCCAGAATCTACGTTTTTGGCACTCTTCTTGTTAGTAGCATTGTCTTTGGGGTTGTTCCGGGCTCATGTCTCATGTTGTCAAGATGGTTTTTATCTTTTTTGCTGATCGGAAGTCGGTGTGTTTTAGCCTGGCGTAGGGGGCTGTAGATGGCAACATGGGTAGCCATGAGCAAGGTAAATATGTCGGAGCTACCTGTCCCTTTACTCTGTGGTAAATTTCCATGTAGAACAGGGTGCTGGCGACGTTACACTCACCTTGTCCAGCCACTCAGTCGCAGCAGTGTGGACTGAGGATGGCTCCACCGTACCTTTGCTTGTGATTATCCAGACATTGAGTCTGGGCCCTCTGGGGCTGTTCCAACTTAGCGATCTTTGACTCTCCCGACTACAACGTACTTGTCACCACGCAACTGTCCCAAAACACTCTCTACACATCCTGATACTACGTAGTTGTACGCTTTCAGACTCTTAATAATGGGTTTGAAACGATCTTGTGAGTAAAAACTTAATACGAAGCTAAGTCAATGAGCTCCACTGAAGGTAGACGCCGTCTCGATCAAACTGATCAAAACTCAACAGAAACGGGTCAACAGATTTTATTTTTTTTCCGGCAACGAGAGGTATGAGTGGTGGTAAACGCTTCGTGTAATCGGAGAAAGGACGGTTTACCTAACATTTGTCAGCCATTTGGCATTTCAACGCTTGGAAGTAGTGACAGACCCCAACATGGCGTCGCACGGGACATGACGGGTGATGACGTCAGATATGATGACGTGTGGCGAATAAGCTCTATATGGACACATGTCGTAGCAAAAACAGAAGCTGCACAATTGTCTCCAAGCTACACATAGGCTAGCAGGAACGGTATGTGACACAAACTGCAACACAAAGAAAGTAGACATGACTTTACCTCCAAGGACAGGGACCTCTCCGTCTTGACGCATCCTTTTGGAAAGAAGATAGTAACACCATCCTCCTCAATCTGGCAACCTTCTTCTGTGATTCTGTACGTGTTCAGCACAACAGAAGACGACGCCTGTAGAAACAAATTGTGATTATTTACAACGATGAAAAGAGATTCGACAAGCATGTCTTGGTCCACGAGAACATATGTGATTACAAAGTATCGTAATGAACATTGCATTGTATCAACGCACCTTCCTCAGGATGTCTGCTGAAAGGAGACCAATTTTGTTACTGGACAGTTTTTCTTCAGCCATTGGTACTTCTGTTGCTGCCATATCCAACATCCCCGCACAGCGCCTGCCGAGCACCTCTAGCAAACGCTCTCTGGTTCCTTCAGGGTAGGCGAAGACCGGGAAGACCAGGTTCTTGTTCTGTACACAGAATTCGTACCCGAGCGTGGACCAGTGTCTCTTGTGGAGAGTCTGGGGTGTGATGATCGGTACGACCATCCTGACGTTCCGTTGGAGAAGATGGTACAAGAGTTTGTCTGTGATGATTTCTCCTGGTTTGATGACGTCTTCAGACACTGTTACACCGTACCTGCTGGACGATTGGACTGCCTGTTTCAACAGTGGCTGGGTGAGCTTGTCGTTGTAGTCTCCGGTGTGTAGGAGAACAAGTTCGTTCCCTAATAATAATTGTGTGAATAAGTCAATAAGTGTGAAGATTAATATTCTAATGTATGAACAGAGTGTCAGAAAAACAAGTTGTTAAACAGGACAAAGCATCGCGGAAGGAGGAAGATAAATCAGAGGCTTCAAACTACAGCCAGGGAAGACGTACCTCTCTCTTCCTTGTGGAACATGGGTGCTCTCTCAGGCAGACAAACTTCCACGGACGCTCCCAGCAAGCGACGGCACGTGTCTCCGGCCCTGTTGACGGTGGCAACCAGCTCTTTGAACCTGCTGACAAATGTGAGCTCGTGTCTGATCCGATCGCACTGTGCCAGACTCAGCCCTCTGCAGGTCTCCATACAGTCCAGGACAGGGCCGATCGTGTGGACTGCGTCTGGGTTCAGCGTGGGCTCTATCATCACGGGTCCGGAACCACCTGAGTTTTCTGCATGTGCAACATATTCTCATTAGTAACGACTGAAACACAATCGTATGAAGATGAGCTAGACAAAATCAGACATCTGAATGTTTTTACCTGGACAGGACGTTGTCGTATCACTTCTGCCACGTATCCAGACATCGATGAAGTCTTCTGGAAAACTGAGATGAAACATATCAGTTAGTAACCCATGGATTACTGATAGTACAGTATTAGGGACATACAAGGCAAGTTAACACCTTGTGTGTTTCCATCAAACAAACGTGCAAGGCACTTGATGTGTTATTCAAATGAAATTGTTTCATTAACTTAAAAAGTTGAAAATATAACTGGTCTCACCGACTGGATCCCGTTGCTGTTTCGTGCCCGATATCAGACAGTGGGTAGAATACTGGTGTTTCGGTTTCTTTTTCTGACTCCTCCCCAAAGCACCAGTCATACTGGATGGACGGGATCCACTTCTCCTTAATCTCAAAGAGACAACTGCTGAGGAACTTTCTAACAGGAAGGGCCTGTGTGAACGCTGGCTGGTCTTTAGCCGACAGAAGCTCCACCTTCAGGTAGTGCTTCACTTTGGTTACCACGAACTGTTGCTTTACATCGTCGGTAGGGAAGCGACCGCAACCGGCGAGCACGTGGGACTCTTGAAGACCGAACCTGCGCACACAAATGGCTTGTAGACGATAGAACATGCCACTTGGGAGGAACATGTTGTCGAATACGACATACAGAGGATGCTGGTATCTCGTCATGTGCCCAGGATACAAGGTGCTATCGTCAGGCTTTGTGGCCAGGAGAGACGGTACGAAGTAGATCTCTTCTTTCTTAGGCTCGTCCTCTGTGTCATCAAACCCACCGATCGGCGTGGCGTTGCAGAGGAGGTAGTACTTTTCCATCAGTCGCTTCAGGAAGTGTTTGTGCCGCAGTAGGAAGGGTTTCTGCATCTTCTGATCTGCTTTGGACCAGATGATTGTCAACAGCCTGTCACTGAGGATGCCTTCCGTCTCCAGCCTCCTCCACATGTCGGTAACTTCCCCATCCGTGCTCCTGTCCTGTTGGTACACCGGGACGGTGATGATGGTCTTAAAGACGTCAATCATCACCTGGGGTCGAAGGGCCACGTGATCACGGAGAACGGGTTCGTTGATGAAGATGATGTCACCAAGGTCGTGTAGGAAGGTCAAAATGTCGGCAACATGGCTGTCGTCCGTGATGCCCACGTCATCACTCCGGGCCAGATCGACGACATCTTGGAAACGGCAGAATGGGTCGTCCTCTCTCCGCTTGTCCATCAGTTTGGACTTCAGATGAAGCCAAGTCATCGGCACCTCCTGGCCCATGAACCACAGACCCTTCGCTACCTCACGGAGGTATTCTCGGAGCTCGTCAATGTCGCTGTTGTCCTCGTTGAAGTTGTCGATGACAAATATCTTTGGCAAGACGTGTTTACCGGCGGCCTTACCACTGATGTGATCACGTATGTCTCTCTTGTACTCCTCAATGTTTGACTGAAATCAAGAGCACAGATTCATTTTGAGGACCTCTAAGTACTGTTGATCAATTTGAGAAAACAACCCAAGGCTGATCCTTGCAGCCAAGGATATTAACTACAAGTTTTAGGGCAAAGACAACCTAGGATTATTCGTAGACTTACGAAAACATTCCCCATACCTTGTAGCGATAATAAAGTCAAGCCAGGAAACACCCCTCTCTTACTACATGTATTAGACTAGTCCAAGTGGTCTCAAGTAACTGGTGACCCTACCACGCTCTCTTTCTGCCGGGACCCCAGATTGAGCAGACGCCTCTTTGTACCTCAGAGTTACTAACCCTCCTGAATAAAGACCATCCAACGGTATCGACCCGCCTCGTCCCAAGTTCAAGATCAAGAACATAACATACCTCATCAACTCTGTCCTTGTGCGTGAGGACCAAAACGACACGCGGCTCTCCTGTCTGCTCCCGCCCGTGCACCAGGGTGTGTGTGCGGACTGAGTTCAGCCAGTGGTCCAAGTAGTCTGGACAAGTAGAGATGTCGTATCATTTTTTGTACGAAATTATATTTGCCTAATCATTTCAGCTTAACAATGTTACATATCTTGTGATTTAACTTTTTCTTTGATTCCCATGTTCAAGCTTTGAAGTCGACCACCTACATGTAGGTTCACAGTTAAAGAAGTATTATATAGTGGTACGTACTAGTGGTAGCAGCTGTATAGTAGTACGCTGCTAGTGGTAGCAGCCGGCACATGTTCAGGTACGCC